GGTTACGTCCATGAGGACGGAGCTCGAGCTTCACTCCGCTGCCCTCGAGCTCATCGCGTCCGGAGATTCACCGGACAGGTACAGCAACGATCTTCTCCTTCTCCTTCATCCATCCATCCTCCTCCTCCTCCTTCTCCTCTTCTATGCTTTCTTCTTTCCCCTCCTCCCTCCTCCCTCCTCCCTCCTTCCGCTCTTTTCTTCATACTTCTCATCGTTGCTGCAGGTCTGCAATGGCCTTGGGAAAATGGTCCTTCCTGCAGGTAACAACCTCCTCTCCTTTTCGTTTCACCCTCAATTTGTTTTGCCTTCCTTTTCTCTCCTCCCCTTTCCTTTCCTCTACAGCCTCCTTCTGTCCCTTCCTCTCCTCCTGCCTCTGACATAGTCGCGCCTTCAGTGCTGCAAGCTTGTCCAGAACGCAGGGGCATGGAAGCAAGTCGTCTCAGCACAGGCACTTCAAGCTCTCACCGTCGAGACTTTAACGCGCAAAATGCTCCTCCCGTCAGTCTTCTTCTCCTCTCTTGTCCTCTTCTCTTCTCTTTCTCACTCGTGCTTCAACAGGTTTCTCAACGAAGTGAAGAAAGTCTCTCAGCAAGAATGTTCCGGTTGACCATTGCTCTACCTCTTCCCTCCCTCCCTCCCTCCTCACTCACTCGCTTGCTCGCTCCCTGTCTCCCTCCCTCCCTCCCCGACATGATCCAGCAGCTCCCTGCATTTCACTTTGACCAGCTACTGCTTCACCAACTTCCCTCTCTCCCTCTGCCCTCCCTGCTCTCCTTTCCTTCCCTGCTCCTCCTCCTCCTCCCTCCCGCCCCTCCTCTCGCGCCTCCTCCTACCCTTCCTTGCTTCTACCCCACTCGCACCTCCTTTGACCTCCTGTCTCCCGTGCCTCCTCCACTCCTCCTCTCCCTCCTCCCGCGCTTCCCGCGCCTCCTCTTGGCTGACTGGCATTCAGAGCTTTCCAACTTGCTCTTCGACTCCTACCCGGTGGAGTGGAGGGGGCAAATCTTCCTCCTCCCGCTCGTCTCCTTCATGCGGACCCTCAACGATCAGTAGAGGAGCAAGAGGAGGAAGCGTCCTGGACCGAGCGCAAGTCGAGAAGGGGGACAGGAGAGGGAGGGAGGAGGACGACCCACAGCGAAGGAGACACTTGCGATGATGATGACGATGATGATGATGATGACGACGATGACGATGATGATGATGATGATGATGATGACGATGATGATGATGATGATGAGGAGGAGGAGGATCAGAGAAACAAGTTGCCATTCAGTCGAACAAGGTCGTTTTCCTTTCACAAAGAATAATCTTCTCCTCTCCTCCTCACCCCCTACCAGACATACCAGGGGTTTTTTTTGGGGCTCCCTCTTCAAACTTCCCATCCCACAGCACCCTTCCCCC